ATGGCTCACAACTGTCTCCAATACCAGAGAATCTAACGCCCTTTTCTGGCCTTCTCAGGCACCAGTCACACATGCAGGAAAACATCCATGTACATATTAAAAAAAAAAAAAACAGGCCTGTAGACTTACTGAACATACTAGACTAACAAAGGATGAACTCCCCAACTTCGTGTTGGAAATAAGATAATACAAACTCAAGATACTCACGAAAAGAAAACAGTCGCTAATATATAGTTCTGCAGAAGGGTTGCCAGCAGAAGCTCCTGCCAGAAAGCAAATTTGTCACAAGACCGTGGTTTTTAAAAATCCTTCAGTTACTAGAAATTCCTGTCATCTTCTCCTTAGGTCAGAACTCATACCCTGCCAGACTCTCCATTTCAGTGGCCTAGAACACGAAGTCTCATTCAAAGAGAAATTTGGGGCTTGAGACTGACCCTCTACCTTTTGTATCCTGGGCTCAGTCAAGTAGAACTTTCTAAATTTCAGAGTCCTGAGATGCCCGCTAGGAAGGGAAGGGGCTGGCTGGTGCCTCCTATAATTCCAATGAACTCGAAGCACAGCTGATGTTGAACATGAACTACATAATCTATTTCTTATGCTTGGATCATATAAAAGGAGGGTCAGTTAACACTAGGCAGCATCAGCCTCACCACCCAGTCATGGGTGAATTCTAAAATATCCCTGGGTTTCAGCTCAGCATGGTCCTCAATACACCTTTCTAACCAAAACCCAACTCCTACTATGTCTGTTATCCACGCCCTGAGTCGGCTCGTCAAGTGGAAGCAGATGTGGCTGTGGCTGCTTTTATCCCTATGTACCTTGTTTTTAGTGCCTCGTGTTTTGTTGTTGTTGTTGTTGTTTTTCTTTTCTTTCTCCTCTCATTCTGTAGCACTGGCTGGCTTAAAACTCACTATGTAAACCAGGCTGACATCCAAGTCACAGAGATCAGCCTGCTTCTGCCTCCCAAGTGCTAGTGATCAGTATGACCAACCACCTCATCATTTCTTTATCCCTGCCCACATCCTGGTTAAAAAAAAAAGTATTTAGTTAAAGTATCTTAAACTATGCTTAAGTGTGACACTTGGCACCTACTTGTACCCTGCATTTTAAGACTTTTTAAAGGCCTTCTTATTTATTTATTTTTTTAAAGAAAAACTCTCTATAGTCTAGGTCTTTTTGTATTTAAACCATGAATTCATAGAGAATGGGCTTCAACAATTCAAGCACCTCTCTGTTAGTTCTCACAAAGTACGTCTCTCTGGAGGAAGCAGGCTGACAATTCAGTTGAACCCAGGCACCTCTCTTTGGCTTCCCCTTTCCCCCCTTAATAAGTCCTTATTTCTAAAAATTTATAGTTTTGTGTATTAGTTACTGTTGTTATTATTGTGACCATGTACCTGACAGAAAACAACTTAAGATAGGAAGGGCTCATTTCTGCCCACATTTGAAAGCACAGTTCATGTTGGGGGGGCGGGGGGGCAGCAGAAGAGTGAGCCAGTTGATAGAAGAAAGTGGACAGGAAGTGAGATCAGGTTAGAATCTTAAAAGCCTAGTTCCAATGACCCACTTCCTCCACCTCCTGACAGTTCAGCAACCTTCCAACCTTCCACCAACTGAGGACCAAATGCCTAAACACATGAGCCCATAGGAAATATTTCACAATGCATATGTGGGCAATCATGTTACTTTCAACTAGTCTCTTCCTTTCTTCCTTCCTTCTTTTCTTCCTTTCTTCCTTTATTTATTTATTTTACTTCTTTTTTTAATAAACTTGTCAGGTTTTTTAAAAATCGAGACTAGCAACCCTATCAGATACATAGGAGATGTTTTGTCACTTAAAATTATTGAGGCAAAACTTGTACACATCATAACACACAGATCACAAGTACACCACTGAATAAGTTTTGATACTCTTATACATTTATATAACAATCACCAGTTATCAGATAATTGGATCTTAAAGTATGGAAGCAAAAGAAATGGGACCAAACCCAGTATGATAAACAAGACAGGCAAAGCTTTCTTGAAACTTATGAACAGAAGAATGTAATGCCAGTTGAAAAGATGGCCTGGCTGCTTGCTCAACTGAGAAAGCAGTAGGCTTCTATTGATTTTTCTGGGGAAGTTTTGTAATTTTCATTGTCCATGGGCATGTTTTCCTTCTTGTGAAAAAGTATTCTGGCCTTGCAGTTTACTGAGTTGACTTACTCCAAGAGGTCATCAGTTATGTTTAGAGCTGGCCTCAGTGTCTTGCTTAAACACCCTGGCCTTTAGATTTGGTTTGAGCCTTAAAAGGACTTGGGACCTTAGATAATTGAGTCACTCTTGTAGTGGAAGTTTTGGTTTCTTAAAAAAAAAATTATGTTATGTTTTTGTTTTAATATCAAGTGGATATGGAGCTGCTTTTGGTTTGTCCACAGCAGATAATTGCCTCATGTGCCACAGAGAGGGGTGTGGTTTTGCCAGCTGTAGTTTAGTTTTGAGAACTCTGAGAGGATATAAATACCAGAGCCCAGAGAGAGGAGAAGGATGCTTTAAAGGATGATCCGAAGAGGCAAACTCTGAGAAACAAGAAGGCTGCTGCTATTTGTGGTGCTCCCGGTTCATCCTTCTGCTGTGTTTGCTGTTGCTGTTTTGCTGGACTCCTAGAGATCCTGATGACAGAGATTGGTATTGCCCCAAAGAACCTGACAATACTAATCAGCAGGAACTAAGTCTAAAGAGATCTACATCCTCTATCCCTTCTAACCTTCTTTCTTTCCTACCTAGGTGGAGGGGTTGGAAGGAGGTAAACATATAAGAAACTAAATAAAGTAGATTAAAAAGTACAACTACACACTATGGTTGGCAAGAAGCACATACTAGCTCCAATGGCCAAGTTAGCCCTGTGGTCTTGGACATAACTGTCCCCCCCCTTGTGTTATAGCTCAGGATGGCCTCAAATTCCTAATCCTTTTCCTGCCTCTGCCTTCTGAGTGTCAGGACTATAAATATTTGATACTGTACTCAATAACAATACATTTCTCAGAGTTTCTGTGTGTACATGCAGAGTTGAGTAGGATCTTGTGGCAGTTGAGCCCTTAGGCTTATGTTTGAATACTTGTTCCTCAGTTGGTATAACTATTTAAGAAAAGTTAGGTATGGCCTTGTTGGAGGAGGTATGTCACTGGAGGCAGGCTCTGAGGTTTCAAAACACTGATGCCATTGTCATGTGCTCTCTGTCTCCTGGTTGCCTTTCTAGCCTCCAGCCACCATTGTGGACTCTGAAACCCTAAGTCCAAAATAAACTCTTCTGTAAGTTGTCTTGTCTTATCATATCAATAGAAAAGTACTACAAATCTGAGTCAAGAGTGAAGGTAGCAAAGAGGACAAATAAAAGATGATGAATACAGACATGCTAAACTTTTCATCCATGTTCTGTTATTCATAACATCTCTGCCAAGTGGAGAGTCAGTACTCACAGCAGAGGTAGTTTTCAGGTTTCTGCAAAGTAACCTAGACAAATTCTATCATTGCCCACATACACCAGAGTTGCTACCTGTAGCAAAACCACATGTCCAATCATGTGGCCAACACTATTAGAGAGCAAATGCAGTGATTCTGCTATGACAGACTGTGTCACTTGAACTGACTTCAGGACTTAATGGGACATTTTATGGTATAAAGTTTTCCTCAGTAACAATTCCCCTCCCCTTTGTTGTTTGTCTTACCTCCTAAATATTGAAGGATTTGGGATTCATTAGAGGCTATAAGTGTGGATATCTCAAACTCAGTCAACTTTAGCTGGTCTTAGTTACAGGGGATTCCTAGTCTGCTATCCAGATATTATCTTACACAACAGGTTGTCTGCTGCATTTTTATACACAAGTCAGTTTTTCTCTATAACCAAAAGGAGGGGATTGTACAGGGATGTAAATGCCAGGAGAGGTTCATGGGTCTTTTTAAAACTATGTCTGCCACACTGGATGTTGACTCTTTTGTCTTGGCCTGTCTTAGTTTCCTCAGCATAGAAATGACAGTTTGAGCAAAAGGAGCTGGAGATAGGAGAACTGGATAGACAGCTGTCCAGGGACAGATGCCCAGATGCAGTGTCATGTTGCATCCAGACACTTGCAATGAAGGTGAAATGTGTGGTCTTAGAGATGAAAGGAACACAAGGGAACAAGGTTGTGTGTGAAGAACTGTTCTAGGAGTAACGACAGTACCAAGTCTACTGAAGCACAAGTGAAAGGGGACCCTACAGATTGGTGTCCACTATAGGGTAAACTCCTTATGGGAACTACCCTGAGTCTATCTGGCCAAAGGTACTTCTGAAGAGAGTGCTTTGAAGAGGCAAGAGTGGGTGGCCTGGGTTTCCTAGGGACATTTCTTCATTCATTTAGCAAATCCAAGGCCTGTGGAAGTACTCCTGCCTACTCTTGTCTCTCTATCAGCTTAGTTTCTTTTTTTAAAATTTAAATATAAATGTTCTTCCTCCCACAGCACTTTGAGGTAATTCAAGGGCTTGAGAGTAGCTGGTTCTAGTGCCATCTGTTTTTCCCCAAGTTGCCAAATATCAGTTTTCTCCTTTCTTCAAGCGGTTCAGGCACGTGCAGCCGGTGGTCTCATAGCCACCTCCCGTCAGATAACTAGACGCTGTGGCGACTCGACAGATGAACCTCCCTGTTATGGTTGCGTCCTGCTAGATGAACAGGATTGCGCCGTCAAGGAAGCGCTCAGGTTTAGGCATGCGCAGACAGTCTGGCAGCCATTTTAATGGGCTACTGAGCTCATGAAGTGCGCCACTGCGCAGGCGTACACGAAAACCTTAACCCGCCCGGTCTCCCCTCGCCTCTCCGCCCCTCCCACTTTCCTCCCCAACCTCGGCCCGAGCTTAGAACACGCATGCGCTGACTAGCCGGAAGGGGAGGGGTCAGCCATTGCCAAGCGCCTGCGCTTTGGTAACGCCGGGGTGGGATTGGGGGGGGGGGGCCGGGGCGGGGCGACTGTCAGCTGACCGAGGCGCAGATTGCCTCGCGGGACAACGGTCGGCGACGCAGGTTGTGGTGGAGGTGGACGAGCTCTCCCGGCGGGTCTCTGTGCTGTCGGCGAGGCACAGGGCCGCCGCAGCACCATGGCGACCACCGTCAGCACGCAGCGCGGGCCGGTGAGTCCCCTCGACGAGAGCCGGACCGGGGCAGCGGAGCCTGGGGTCGGGTTCTTCTTTTCAGCCTCTTGCGGGGGCCCTCGCGGATTGCTCGGCGGTCCCGGGGCTGCGCGGGTCCCATCTTCGGGTAGCGATTCTGCTTCTGAGGGTCTCTCGGGTAGAGGAGGGCAGAACTTGATGGTTTCCTGGACGCTCACGGGCCCTGGAAGCTCCTGGCCCCTAGATGGAGAAGGGTTCTGACTCCCTTGGTCCTCCAGAGGGAGGAAGCCATGAGTCCCTCAGTCCTCTATAGAGAGGAACCCTTAACCCATTGGCCAGCGGGAGGGAGAGGGACTTCCACCCTCCTTGGTTCCCCAGACGGAGAGAGACCTCGAGTCCCCTTAGTTTCTTAGATAGAAAAGGACCCTGAATCCCTTACTTCCCCTGATGTACCTACCACCCCGGAATACCTCTGGATTCACTAATATTTGCAAAGGCTTTTTAGCTGGGTCTAGTAGAACTGCCACAGTGTGGTAGTGCTTCTCTCCTATTCATGTCCCAGATGGACATGAGCCCTGACTTTCTTGGTCTCCCAGATGGAGAGTGGTCCTGGCCCCATTAATTGCCCAAGCTGAGAGGAGTGTTGGCTCCCGTAGTTTCTCAGAGGAGTGGGGCTGGGCACTATTGGTCCTCCAGAAGGAAAGATGTCCTGAACTCCTTGGTTTCAGAGATGGTGAAAGTTCCCACTTTGTAGTCAGTCCTTAGTTGTGTCAGTTTCCTCCCCTCTCTAGCATCTGGAGAGAACAGAGGAGCACCTTTTCAGCCCAGTTAATGGCTATCTTCCCAAGCCTCAATTTCCTCTTTATAAATGAGACGGAGCAGAGAACTTGGAAGACCCAACAGGGATGTCTCCTAAGAGTTCTCTTGGGTTCCGTGATAATGCCTGTTTCTCCTCCCCTTAGTGTGGATGTCCTCCTAGTAGCTTCCTGGGACTGTTGCGGCTGGGATGCTGTTGCTTAACAGCAGCTAGGTGTAGTACAACCGAAGTCTGATGGCACCAGTGTCTTTCCCTTGAAGTTAATACTGAATGTGCCTGAAAAGCCTGTTTTCCCAGGTCCTCACTCTGACAGCTTGGTGTTGACTTGTGTGTGTATGTGCATGTAACAGATAATTTGTTGGGGTAGGTGACTGATTTTCTGTCTTTGAAGAAAGCCCCAGGTTTGGTTAGATGCTTTTTCAGAGGGCTTTGAAGGCAGACCTCCTGAACTACTGTCAGACTTGGTATGGAGTGTTCCGGGATTGGACTTACCTTCATGTTCAGCAGTTCTTCTTCATCCTCAGTGTCTCAGGGCTTCCCTCTTATTCATGTCATACTTGGGGTGTGGAGTGTAAAGATAAAGAGCGCTGGCTTCCAAACATAGATAAAGTACATGCATTTGGGCAGTGCTGGGTCCCGCAGGCAGCCTTCTTTTGGTAGCCCAAGCAGAGGTTAGGCCGTGGCCCAGAATCCCCATCCCAGGAGCCTGGACTTAGGCTTGAGCAGGTGACTCTGCAGCTCACCTTCACCTCTGATGAATGGGGAAGAACTGACAAAGAGTGTCTTGGCAGGCTATAAAAAGCAGAGGATACTCTCATCTGGGCTAGGAGGGGTCTCTATGCTGTTTGGGGGTTTAGGAGGGTGAGTATGAGGACAGCCGACACCCAAATAGTTGTGAAGGAATAAGTTCTTCCCTAGGACATGCAGTATTTTATGTTTTTAGCTTTTAGTTTAGTTTGGTTTAGTTTTGATTTTTAATAGCCACCACAGGGCACTATACCCAATGCTATACCTTTCTCATTTCTGAAAATGTTGATATTTGGAAATTGGCAAACCCTTTTGCTCTCGAATCCACACACCTGCTCCTTTCCTACAGTCAGTGACTTTGGGGATCCTATTCCTGCGGGGATACATGCAGGAGGTCTTGCCGGCGGGAGGCTGCGCCAGTCGGCATTTGAAGGTCCTCTTTCATAGACGTGTTGTGGGGAGTCCAGCAGGTGCTGGTTAACCTGAGCTTTTCCAGAGGCCACTGGTGCTGGCTTTGCCCCTCCTCATTCTGTGGGTGAGCCTTAGTGCCTATGCCTAGTTGGAACCGCACCAGTCTTGTTCTTTTCTGATGATTGTGGTTGAGCAAGTGACTTGTTTAGGGATGGCAAAAGGTATATACATATTTTTTATTTTATGTGAATTAATATTTTACCCATGTATATGTAAATATACCGTGCTCATTTTTGGTGCCAATGGAAGTCGGAAGAGGGGTTCAGATTTGCCAGAACTGAAGTTTCATATGGTTGTGAACCATGTGGGTGTTGGGAATTGAATCCAGGTCCTCTGGAAGAGCAGCCACTGTTCTTACCCAATGAAACATCTTTCCAGCCCCAAAAGAGTGATCTTTTAAATTTGCTCATATGTTCTACACTTGGTAACTGGGTCTGTTGTTAAAGATAAGCTTTTCCCATCAGCCAGAGGGGCCTTGGCTGTCTCTAAACATTTTCTAAAGTAAGGCAAAATGCGGGCTTCTTATTTTCTAGTCATAGAGGAAGGAGTTGATTTCTTTAGGGTGTATTTGGTTTTCTTTTGGAGTGTTACTGCATACTCATAGCTTTCTGACCTCCTGTGTGAGTTAGCATCCTCTGTCCATGCATTCTCAACAGGCAGAACCTGAGCAAGAGGTTGTGTTCACTAGCTGGCCACTAGGCCTTTATCTCTGGGTCCCTGGAATGTTTGCTCTGGAGTCTGAGGTGAGGTTATACCCGAGTACAAGTCTAGCATTCCTGCATCAGGCTGTGGCCACCAGATAGTGACTTCTACTGGCTTCTTGCCTTTTACTTTGTATGACAGCATGGTTACTCTACTTTTTCTTTTAGAAAGTATTTACAGGGTTTTTCTTTCTTTTATTCATTTACTTTTTGACTTTACATTGTATTCAACGTGTTTAGGAAGGATCTACCCACAGCAACATGTAGCTTTATCCTTAGAAGACAAATCTAAGAAGTACAAGTTTCTGTTGGAATCTTTTAAATAGCTTTATTTTACATAGCACAAATATATAAACATGTATTTAACAGTTTTAGGCTTCTGTTTGTCCTACATGTTTTTATTCTTGCTTTGATTCATAAAACATTGATTTTTTTAAAATGCGTTTTATCAGAAATACATTTTTAAATATATGTAATCATAGTAAATTCTTTACCAGTTTGGTAAATACATGGTGTATTCCTTCTCTCTTGGGAGTTACCCTAGGAATTTTAACACATTGCAAATCTGAAGTTGATTGCATCTCTGTCTTTCCCAGTCTGTGCAAAGACCATAGAGAGCTGGTGGTGAGTCAGTGGCCTCGTCCCACCAAGTGCTATTGTGCCATATATGACAGTTCTACTTTCCTTTGAGTAACAGCATTTTTATGTCAATGCTTGTTCAGATCTGAGATGCATAATTTTCTTCCTAATCCTCTTTGTGTCTATTTGTTGGGATTTCTTTGCCTTACTTTCAAGTTTCTCTTTTGGAATCCTTCACTGTAGCTCCTGAGAGCTGTGTAGAGTTGAAGTGGACAGTGGCTTCTCAGTCCACTGTCAGTCTGCCTTGCTGTCATCCCAGTCACTACTTTGCTTCTCTTTGGAGTTTCATTGTAAACCACTGAAAGCCTTAAAGTGCAGTTTCAGTCCTGACTGAGGGCCAAGTCACTGTTTAAAGAATTGTTGTCAGGGCTTGTGAGGATGCACCAAGTTTACGCATGGAGAGTGCAGCAGGCCCAGCCCATGGGAAATAATGAACTAAAGAGGTACTAGGTCCTTATGAATTACTTTCATTTCTTAGAACACATGACACTTTCTGTGATCAAATCCTTTTCAGATACTATTTCTGCTTTGACAGCAGAGAAACAGTGGAGCTGGGTGCAGGTAGGTTGTGCAGTTGCCAGGTACCTGTTGCAGGCAGGATGGCGTCGGCTGTGGTGACTGTGGGGAGACACAGCAGCAGCTAGTCTTGTGGGTAGGAATCCCACAAGACTATCCCTGTGATCACTGAGTCTGGAAGGCTGTCCAGGCCTTCACATTGGGCAACAGAGACACGGCTTCCACAGATACACTAAACTATGAGCTGGTGCTTCAGGGTCTCCCTTGCTCCCTTTAGCATTGCTGGTGCCACAGCCTTACATGCATGGATGCACACATGCAACTCACTCATGTACCTGTGGAAGTAAGTAACTGTGTCTCTGTCTCCCCCCTCCCTTTTTTTCCTGAATTCTAGACTAGCAGCTTCTTGCCTTTTTTTTTTACAGTGTCCTAGACATGCTAGCAGGTAGGTCCTCCATGCTGGGCAGGTCAGAAGCCTTTGGACAACCCTCGGAGAGACACCGTGCTTCTCTGTCCATGGGGAAATCTCATGGGCTGTATAACAGATTGTAAGGGTTGGGTTCATATGTGCCTTCACTCACTATGTTAGTCTGCCTGTTTCTACTTTTACTTGCCAAGGGTAAAGCCCAGTGTACCCTGCCTACTGGCCTGCTTTTGTTTGCTTTTTTTGTGTATGTGTGTGTTTTTGTCAGCATTCTGGGGCTCCTTGCATTCTAGGGACACAGAAATACCCCATTCCTTTTGAGGGCTGTGAGTGTGAGCCACACAAATGCTTCTGTCTAGGGAAGTCAGACATTGCTTGGTGGCTCTCCCTTTTTCCCAGGCCATAAGGAGTGAGCCTACTTATGCTTACATTCCTGCAGCTTTTCCATTGGACTGGTGCCTGGAAATGAAATTGGTGGGTCTTAACCCACATGTTTAAAGTCATTTAGTAGTATTGAATTCAATATGTGTATTTATCTTGTACTCTTAAGTAAAACTGTAAAAAAAAAAAAAAGAGCCATTGTGAGTCTTTTAACAGATTCATGATTTAATGTTTCTAAGTCTTTAAGCTGTGATAAAAAAAAAAATGTATATTTTCATATGGCCAGTGTATGGCAAAAAATTCTTCTACCAATATACAGCAAAAATACATTCTATAATTATCCCTGTATTTTACAACTTTTCTAAAAATATCTTTTTATTAATGGTATTTTCCTGTGCTGTCATTGTCTTTATAGAATTTGCACCAATGCCTGATACATCTTGCTCTTGAAGCATTCCTCACTATGCTAAAAGTGGTGGCTCTTTAGGTATATCATAAGGTGTCCTCATTTAGTCAAATCATCAGGGACCTGCAGCAGCTTGTTTGTTGTCTGGTTTGGGCTGAAGTATTTCCTATCCCTTCCTGTTCCCTCCTTGGGTTAAGGTGAAACTTTTCCTAGTATATTATGACTTTAGAATAGTTTTATATTTAAGGAAAAGCTATAGAAAAAAAAGTTCTCCCTTGTATCACTCTATTTCCCCTGATGTCATTGTCACAGACCATTGTCACTGCCATGAAACTGGCTTCAGTCCATGCTCCAGATTCAGCTTGTTCCCTTCCCTGCTGTGGGTTCCTCCCAGCCCCTTGCTTAGCCTTAGACCATCTCTCAGGTTGCCCTTGGTTCTTATTTTGGAAGAGGTACATTGTTGAGAATGTTGTATCACATCCCTGGGTTAGATGAAGGATCACCTAGCTGGGACAGAGTGGATTAGCTTTTTCTACCATGTTTGCTTTTCTATTCTTCAGTAACACTGTTAAGCTCACATTGTTAAAACTTTCCTTTCTTATTTATAATCTTATGGTTAAATCTTTGTTGAAAACAGCGCAGAATTTGATCTTCTTTGGGGGAAGTTGCTGGGGAGTGAACCTAGTTCACTGTGCATGCTGAGCAAGTGCTCTACCACAGAGCTAGACCCCTAGCCGCACTTTATCTTAACTCCACCCCAACTCTAATAGTCTCTTTCTCTTTAATGAAAGCCTGGAAGAGTGTAATATGAAATCTCAGTGTTTGAAGTTTCCACTCCTAAGAAGGGAACAGATAAGAGATAATTAAAATTAAAAAACAGCCCTCACTTGTTCCACATATGGCCTTCCTGACCTCCATGCTGAAGCAACCCCCATGACTGCCTTCACCCTGACCTATCACTGTGATACCTGCTGGCCTGTCCTGGGTCTGTCCCTAGGAGGCACAAGTGTGCCCTGCTGCTTGTGGCATACAATTAGCAGTTGTTCCTGTGACAAGTGAGAACTTGGTCTATGTAGGTTAACCCCAAGAACCTAGATGAAGAAAGTCTACTTTTGCCTAATAATCCATTTATGATACATAGATAAAGCTAATTATGCATCTTGGAGGTACACCCTCTAAATTCATTTCAGACTAACATAGGTATAGGCTGGGAGTTTCTCTGGGAGGGTGTTTCCTGTATGTGATAGACACTGGTTCTTGGCTATCCCTTTCTTGGTAATCATGGGCCTCACTGGCCACAGCTACTTTCCAGGAAGCTTCTGCCTATGAGGGCTGGTCTTCCTCCTGGCTCTGGGCTGAGTGACCCCAGAGGTGCAGAGGGGCATGCTGCTGAGTTGTCACCACTTTGAGATGTATGTGATATGTTTTTTTGTTTTTGTTTTTTTTTTTCAAGTTAGAAGACAGTAGTACCACTATCATCAGGCCAACTGCTCAAGGGTAACCCACAGAAAACTCTGGGCTATATCCTTGGTTGGTCCTCAACTCCTGACTAGTCTATATTTTCTGGAAACACAGAAATGGGAAGATGATAAGGAGCAAAACTCAAGGATCCAGTGACTTTCGCTCGCTTGCTTGCTTTATTAATTAATTTGATTTATTTTTTGAGCAGGGTCTTGCTGAATAGCCCAGGCATGCCTGGAACTCACTATGTAGCCTAGTTTGGCTTTGAACTCACAGTACTCCCCTGCCTCTGCCTTTTAAGTGCTGGGATTGCAGGAGTGAGCCAGCATGCCTACTTTTCTCAGGGACCTTTGAAAAGAGCACCGAAACTCCTGAGAGACAGATGCTTTCTAGGTGCTGGAACTGATAAACCTACACAAACTGGAAGTCTACATGGTGCATTATCAGTGGGAGCCCACAGCCAGGTGGGATAGGCAGTAGTGTTTACGGTAGAGACAGTCAGGGCATCACAGAACCTTGATACCCAAGCACTCCCAGCAGCTCTCAGTAAATTCACTTTGCCACAGCTCATTTATGACATCGATGCTTCATTGAAAGCTTATATGCTGGCCTGGGAAGCCATGCACAGGGACCTGGGGACTTGGGGACCACCGTAGACACCTGTTTCATGCTCAGGTCCTCCCTCTAGTGGGTTTGCAGCCTTCAGAGCTTCATCAGCTGATCCTTAATTGTGAGCACTTCCTCTCTGTAACCCTTAGACCTGTACCCACTGAGCAGCCTTCTTTGGGGCCATCCTGGTTGAAACTGTAGATGCTTGCTCCCAGGGTTGTCCTCACTGGTCCTTGAGTCCTTGGCCCTTCCATCTCGGGTCCCAGGCAGGTGTGCCATTTCCAACTGGTATTTTCTTGCTGGGAAGCCCTGGTCAGCATGTATTCCTGTGGTTTCCCTCTGTGGTAGGTTGCTATGGTTATCCCCAGAATGATTTTTAGCCAGGGCTATCATTAGGAGTCTTGGTTAACCTTTCCTTTGCTTTCTTATTTTCCTTGAAAAGCTGTATTTTTTAGAGCCCTTCAGGTCTCCCTCCAGCCCTAGTAGTCAGGCTTTTCAGTGACTGAGACATGTTCTAAACCTTCTAAGGGTGCTGGTTCACCTTTAGCACCTCCTGAATAAGAAGGCGTGAATCTTCAGGGGAAGGAGGCTCTGATGAGGGCAAGCTGGAAACTTAAAGGTGGAAGCAAACAAACAAACAAAAGACCAAGCACTCTCTAGGCCTTGGTGAGGTGAGGGTAAGCTGGACTGGGTCTGAGTGAACACTGCTCCAGGGCAAGCCGGATAGTACTCTTAAGATTGCTCAGCTACCTGCTTTGACTCTACTTTTTTTCTCTCCTCACTGGAAGGTGTACATTGGTGAGCTCCCTCAGGACTTCCTCCGCATAACGCCCACACAGCAGCAGCAGCAGATCCAGCTGGATGCCCAGGCAGCCCAGCAGCTGCAGTATGGAGGAGCAGTTGGCACTGTGGGTCGCCTCAGCATCACTGTTGTACAGGTGGGTCTCAGTTTCCTATTGAAGACTGGTGATTTCATCCTTTGCATCACATTTCCCATTGAACAAGTAGATCCTTATTTATTTATTTATTTATTTATTTATTTATTTATTTATCTATCTATCTATTTATTTATTTGTTATTCTAGCTATTCTTGAAAATAACTAGTGATACCTGTTGATTTCCCAGGGATCTGCCTAAGATACTTACATCCACTATTGGTTCATGCTGGCCACTATCCTCAATGAGGATGCCTTCTCTGACCCCTTTGTAGCAGCTGAGGTCCTGCTACTCAGGCTAAGCTACTCAGTCCTCCACAACTGTCCTGCAAACCATGGATCCTTCTCAACCTCAACTCCATGCTGAGGCCTAGGATGTGCATAGTTAGTGAACAGTGTCAGATTAGAGGTCTTGTCTTTGTTGCTTACTGCCGAGTATGGCCAGGTTCCCAGAATTGTATGAGTCCAGCAGTGACTGGCATCATGTTCAAGAGCAGGTTACCGACACAGTTAGGTAAACTTGAAGGCTGTTTTTTCATGTACTGTGAAATATCTACGAGGTAAGCAGAGAGGAACTCTGCTGGTGGATGCCTTTTTTTTTTTTTTTTTTTTTTTAATTTGGTGTTATTTCAGGCAAAATTGGCAAAGAATTATGGCATGACTCGTATGGACCCTTATTGCCGCCTGCGTCTGGGCTATGCTGTTTATGAAACTCCCACAGCACACAATGGCGCCAAGAACCCTCGCTGGAACAAGGTCATCCAGTGCACAGTACCCCCAGGTGTGGACTCGTTCTACCTTGAGATCTTCGATGAGGTGAGGGATGCCCCAGTGTCACAGATCTGCCAAGCTGAGGCAGATAGGTATGGGTGTGCTGCAGTGTGCCTTGCAGTTGTAGCTATTAGGCTAGTCTACTGGTGCTCAGGCCTGTGTACTGGCATTTAGTGGCCGGGTAACAGGGTGTGACCTGCCTGGAGACCTGGCATTTAGTGGCTGAATGATAAAGTATAGCTTTTTTGTCTCAGCTTCTTTGACAGGGTCTGTTGGGAACCATCACCAGTGATATGGGTGTGAGGAGAGTGTGAAAATAGCTGTTCATGGGTAGGTCAAATTTCAAGCAAGTCAGGCTCCACTAGTGGTGAGAACACTGTTCTTGCAGGCATGAGTTATAGGCTCTGCCAGTAATGTTCCGTGGCTCTACCAGCAGTAAGGCATGCAGGTTTTTGAGGGCAGTCAGGAAACTTCAGAGGCTGAAGCTGTCTCCTGATAGCTTCACCTGATAGCACATGTTCTGGAGACCACATGCCTGCCTTCTTAAACCAGAGTAAAGAGCAGAGGATAGAGAATGGGGACAGTGAGGGCCAAAGAGGAGTTGGACGTGGGCTGCCCAGCCAGGAGGACACAGCCTCCTCCTTGTCTTGTCCCTCTGCCTCTTCCTGTTTTGTTTTGTTATTTATTTATTTGTCCCTTTCTCCCTCTTCTGTGTTCTCAGAATAGTAGGAACATATGAGGAGGAGGTTTGGGGCTGTGGGTAGCTGCTTGGTCCCCTTGTCCTCATCTGTATCTACTGGGCTTCAAACTTGAAGCTTATATCTGGTGGATTAGGTGTAGGGCCACAAGGACCGAGGGGGACAGTGTTCATCCCTAAGCCAGAATGGCAGCCCAGAGATTCTTTCCTGTCCTTTGCCCTGGCCTTATGGTGGTTGCTCAGAAGGTGCAGAAGTGGTGGTGGTCAGGTTGCAGGTGATCCATGGAGGTCTGGGATTGTGGTTTAATGGGAAGCTCCTTAAAGGAAGCCAGAGCAATGAGGAAGACCCGGTCCTGCCAAGAAGGCAGACGGTAGATGCAGGTGGCAGTCCAGGTGGAGTCACAGCCTTAGGAAAAGTTGGTCTCTATAAGATGGGTCATTGTGGGTCATGATGAGATCACTTTTCTCTTGTCCTCCTTAGCGAGCCTTCTCCATGGACGACCGCATAGCTTGGACCCACATCACCATCCCTGAGTCTCTGAAGCAAGGCCAAGTGGAGGATGAGTGGTATAGTCTGAGTGGAAGGCAGGGCGACGACAAGGAGGGCATGATTAACCTGGTCATGTCCTACACGGTGAGTTCACTGTCTGGAGAGGCCACCTTCTTGAGCAGCTCCTTGAGGCACCTGTGGTTCTAAGAACCTTGGGAATTTGTGGGAGACAGGATTGGGGGTCTGGGCTTCCACCGGCTCTTTGTATTATTTAGGCCTCTTCTTTTTAGTTCTTGAGCCTTTGAGAAGGGGAGTATAAAGCACCTTGTGTACAGGCCTCCTCAGCTTGACCATCCTGCATGTCTCTCCTTCTGGCATTTAGTGTTGCCTGTCTTCAACAGGCACTTTATGTAGCACAGGTTCATTTTATACTAGCTCACCTACAGTTCAAGATTATTTGAGTGGGGCTGGAGAGGTGGCTCAGCAGGTAAGAGCACTGGCTTCTCTTGTGAAAAGTCCCAGGTTTGATTCCCAGCACCCGTATGGCAGCTCACAATGAACTCTTATCTCCAGTTCCAGGGGATTCAATATCCTTATCTAACCTTCACTGGCACCAGGCACACACACACTTGCAGGCAGAACATTAAGACACATTAAATAAATAAATTTAAAAAACAAAACAGTTTAGTACTTCTTTGAGAAGTACTGATACTGATGATGCATTCTCCAAAACAGATCCCGAAGGGAGCTTCGTGAGTCCTCTGTGAGACGTGATGGTTGCAGCTCATGTTTGTCCTCTTTAATCTTTACCCTAATTTTTGTTCTCACTGAAACTGGAACTCATTCATTCTATTGGGCTAATGAACTTCAGGGATCTTCCTGTCTCTGCCTTCCCAGCCCTAAGATAATGTTATATGGGTGCTGGGGATTGAACTAAGGTCCTCATGCTTGTGTATCAAACACTTTCCTAACTGAGCTGTCTCCCTAGCCCAGTCCTTCTTTTGATCACATTTCAATAGCTGTAATTTTGTGAGTCTTACAGCTGAGGATGGTATGCTGGAGTGTTGGTACAGATGCAGCCAGTGGCCAAGGCCACTACATTCTTGCTGACATGTCTTGGGTGTTAATGTCTGGACTATGGCTAGGACTTATTCCTGTGATACTGAAAGTAACAAGATTGACATATGGTATGACGGTCCTCCTTGACACCCATGTTTTTCTTTGTTGTGTTTCAGTCCCTTCCAGCTGCCATGATGATGCCACCTCAGCCTGTGGTCCTGATGCCAACTGTGTACCAGCAGGGTGTCGGCTATGTGCCCATTGCAGGTGTGTGCTGCTGCTTTATTAGGCAATTTTGGGACAGAGTAGGACTGGAGGAGGGAAGGGCCCAGCATTCCTATGAAGCATGACTAGGGATCTTATTTAACAAGGATCTTATTAAAGATCCTTCTAAAACAGTGTCGTACTTGAATTATGTATACATAGAAAATGGTGTTTTCCCTAATTGCTGGCACAACTGAGGTGAACTGAGGAGTTTTTGGAAGTGTGGAAATGTCCTTGGACATATTTATGTATGAATCACTGGAATAAGAGAACCTGGTTCCTGGTAGGCAAGATGTTATACTGCATCTTAAAAAACAAGGCTTTCATTGAAAGTATTTACTCATTTAAATTAATGTATGCTTGGGTCATACAGTCAAGATATGGCTTTTATATATTTTTTTAGTTTTCCAACTTCCCTGTGGCTTTCACAGTGCCTAATGTCCACCTGGCCCTTCTACCAGAACAGTGCAAGCTAGATGAGATCACAGCTGCTTTCCTGGCTTTAGCCAAAAGGAACAACTGTGGCTCTGAGAGTAGAAGACACCAGAGCAGGCCTGCAGGTCCCCCATTCTCTTCCAGGGTCCAAGGAACTGGAGTCCAAGCAGACTATGGTAGTCCTACTGTCCCAGGAAACTCCAAGGCTAAGGCAGTGGGAATGGCCAGGTCTATAGGGCAAAAGGAATGTGAGGTCCTGGGTGGAACTTGGTCTTTGTGGTTCCTGGTTACCAGTGCTCAGGGTGGGTGTTGTCTTGGATCTGGGACAGCACAGAGGTACAGTGGCTCAACAGTATGGGGTCTGAGGTTCCCACATAGCCACAATTGAGTGACTCATTAGCTTTTCAGCCTCTATACCAGTTAAGCTAGGGAAGACAGTGCAGGACTTTGGAATGAAATCCACCCACACATATTCTGACAACAGCCCTGGCAGATAGAACTTGGGCCTTCTGTCTGTGACAGATCTGCCTGCAGGAACAAAGGGCAGCACTTTGCAAATGAGAGGGAGTCCACAGGCCATGCCCCTGCAGTATTTGGAATGGAGTAGGTTGTTACCAGATCAGCAGAGACCAGAAAGTACAGCCTGCAGTAGAGGGCAAACCAGTCAAATGCAGAGTGACCCAAGACCTTCAGCCTTAAAGCAGTGTGATTGTTCACCAAGAGAACCTTAGAAATATGAGAGTGGGGTTTTGGGATGTGTGTTCTCTGGAGTCCCCAGTACAAGATCCTGACCTGTCTAGTTCAGTGAATGGATCCTGAGGTCTGAGGATTGCATTCCCAAAATGGCTCCAGGTTTCTTTTCTTCAAACTGCAGTCTCATCAGTTCTCTGTTCAAATGTATCACTGGAATGTATGGAATTTGTCATTGAGCTGTCCTGAATTGGAGGTGTGAGGAGGGAGAAACAAGTAGAACGCAGTGAGCACAAAGGGTACCCCAGCATAGCAGAAGCAGTGTCACAGATGGGGCAGTGCAGCAGAAATCTGTTCCCTCAGCTTCGGAGGCCAGAAGTCTAAAACAAAAGCTGCAATCCCTTCTGATGCTCTGAATGTTCTACTTTTTCCAGGTCTTGGTTTCTGGCCACATCTCCCTAGTCTGTCTTCATACTCTATGGTCACCACCCTCTTTGTGTGTTTCTGTCCTGTAAGGTCACTGGACTAGGGCTTTTCTGCTCCTTCAGGATCTGATCCTAACAAGGGTACCCTCTTTCCAGGCACTGGGATTGGACTTGAGCATATCATTGGGTGGTGACAGAGGGGGTGGGGAGGCAACAAAGACAAACTTCTGTCTAGTTGCCAGCACCAGAACTACTTCTAAAACAAATTATAAAAGTTGTTGACCAGTGTACTCTTGGCTCTTGTCCTGCATTCTTGGCAGTGCCTCTAGACTGCTCTAGAATGTGTATTTTAGGGGAGATCCCTCTATAAATAGACTTTGATCCTCACTTTTGATGTACATTTTGAAAGTTAGAAACAATCTACTGACAGAAAAGCTGCCACAGAAATAAAAGGATGTTTTTCCTTTGGAGACCAGCCTCTGATGTCTGCTCTGTCCCCATGTAAGCATGCTTCCTGAGGACACTTCCCAAGGGGCCCTTCTGCAGGACTGCAGCCAGGTTTATCCCCACTTGTTCTGTGCAGCAGCTCCGGCCATGGGCCTGGTGGAGCTGGGTCTTCCTAGAACCTGTGACAGGCCCTGTAGCTATTTGTATTGCCCTGTCCACTATCTAGATAATGCTTAGAAAGCTGCTCTCGTTCATTACTGCTGCTCACACCTTACTATTTGGTAAGGTGCCACAATACACCTTTTCAGTCTCTTGAGAACCCCTTTGTATCTACTCAAGGATTATATTCAAGGTCACAGTTGCTGCCTGTTTGTTGTCAGACTGTGCTGTCCACTGATAGCTCTAGCAGTGTGGGCTCGAGGTTTGTTTTATTTTCTGAGCTATTAATTTGTTACTGTATTGTTTTATCACTCAGTGGTCCCAGATTGGACAGCCCTTTAGACTGAATTGTGTGCTGTTTGATGTCTCACGTGCTATGCGAGCTTCCTGATTTTGGCATAGGAAGCCTCTGGCCATCTTGGCATTTCCTTCTTCTACCCCAGAATTAGCTACTTCTTCCTGAACCCAGGTTTCCACCAATGGATAATCAGTTCTAGAAAAGTTCTTGAATTTTTTTTTTTTTTTTTAATTTATTGTAATCATTTGGGGGCATTAATAAGCATGCTGCTTCATTGAAACCTGATGCCCAGCTTTGGTTCTTATAATTCCTATGTCTGTGATGGCAGAGCCATCCTACCAGAGTACTTGGGGTGTCCTGTGCAGAGACAGATAGGGGTTGTTTTCAGGGCATCTCAGGCCACAGAGTCAAGAACAGCAGTTCACTGGGGCATTTTTATTCCTGTTGCTGTTCTCTGGCTCCTCAAAAGTGAGGTCAAGTCACATGGTATTTCTTGCTTCATATCAGCTCCACAGTTGTGCTGCAGAGTTTGCTCAGTTGGGAAAGACTTATACCCTTGACTATTCAGGGTACAAGGTACATTTGGACAGACCATGCATTAAAGAAGACTGCACTCCAGCACCTGACAGTGGGTGAGATAAGTCTGTGAGCAGTAGGACAGGAATGAGGAGAGTCACGTGTTAGCCTGTTCGCATTACTCACTGGTCACCCCTGCCATATGCCCAAGGGAAGTGCATAGCCAGTAGATGCCAGCTGCTTCTGCATCGCAGGAGGCATAAACCCTGTTGTCTATGTCTGAGGTTTTGGATTCAGGATCACAGCTGCTTCTTTGCAGAGCTGAAGCTGAAGGTTGGGGATCAAGGGTTAGCTGTGTGTTTATGAGTCCACTAATTTGAGCGCTTAGAAATATCCCATAATATGCAGCCTGATTCTGGGCTCATATTGCTGGTGGAGGTAGCCTCAGAGGCGTTTTGCTGTCTGTGTCAGTCCGTTGTGGACTGTTGCTGTGAGGCAGGACCCAGGTTGTCTGTGCTGCTATACTAAGGCCCCAGTTTTTTTTTTGAATGGAGAACTCCCTTGCTTTTGTTTTATGAGTGGAAGTCTATTGGTGAAGAGACTTTTGTTCCATTGAATTGGGCTTGCCCACTGTTTATAGTGAGTGCATTGTAGCTAAGTGTCCTGCCAGAAGAAATAAATTGGTCCTATTCCATCAGTTTGTCAGCTTATGAAGAGGAGGGCTTGCAGGGTGATGCCATTGAGCTGCCTTTATTCAACATGGTACTTTAGTGTAAGCTATGGGTTCATTCTACCTGCATGCCTCCTCACTGTACCCACTTAGACCTGAGAGGACCTTGTTTGGTACCAAGGCTGCAGGGCTCCTATTCATCCTTTGCCCTCCAAAGTGGCTCTCACAAATTCTAGGAAGTTTTGATAAGTTAGTCCACACTTGGTCATAATGACAGGTCAGACTTGGACTGGGAATATGGTATCCACTCTGGAGGATGGAAGACACCAGGGTCAGTCTTCTTTGTATGTATTGGTCTGCTCCCAAAGGAGCTGGTTTATGAAAGCAGATGACTGCAGACAGTTCTCCTATGCTGACCCCATGCAGTTGATCTTCAGGTTTTGCAGCAGTGTCCAGTCCTCTCTTCCCTGTACCCAGCCAGGCTGAAAAATGTTGGAACACTGAACAGGACTCAAGGGAAGCTGCCTGGCCCTGGTACATGGAAAGACCATCCATGTACCCTTTCCTTGGATATAGTCATGCACCATTCCTTGTGTTGCTACAGTGGCTGTGTGTGTGCACAGGCACTGAATCCATCCAGTTGAGGTGGTTTGAGCCCTTTTAAGAACAGGCTGCTGTCTTAGGCCTGGGCCAGGCAACATACAGTCCATTGTTCCATCCTTCCTTTATCACCGAAAGGCTGAGCAGTGTGGCATTATGGTGACAACTTGTGAGATGTCTGATGACAACCTGTCCAGGTCAGTCAGGACAAAGACACCAAAGTGAAGGTCTGGCCCAGAGGGTACTTTGGAAAGCTCTGCTTCTTAGTTCGAACCTCTTCATCTAGCACAGGGTTCAGGGAGCTGTATAGCATCAGTGCTGAGCCCTCTGCCAGCAGCTTTTCATTACTCATATGGCAAAAGGATTGGCTCCTAAGGCCCTCTGAGGGCCCTGGTGCCTCGGGCTGCTGAAAATTGATGTGTATTGTCTTCATTGTAAAAGGCTAGTATGCAGCCTTTCTGAAGTATTTAGAGCATGCTGTATGTAGCTCTACCTTACCAAGATATGCACGTTACTGTAATGTCTTTGCTAGGCTGTGAAAGTAAATTCTAGAATATTGACACAAACAGACTTTAGAGTATTGGGTGAAACAAGTATAATACTTTGCTGTCCCTATTCTCAGTAAAGACTCATGTCTATGATGCGTCTCCTAAGTTCTTAAAGTAGCACATATGGTTACCAAATATTCATCTTGCTCCCTGTAAATTTTTAATATAAAGATCCAACTTAAATTTTTGGTCAGAAAGAAAATACCTCAGGAGAGGGGACCTCAGTAGTGAGGAGGATGACCCAGCCCATCTACCATGGGCATCCTTGAGGAGTCTGTTTTTAAGTCAGACTTAAGGTAGCCTTTCCCCATAAGGCCAGTCAGATGCATTATTTCTTCCTTTGGCACTACAGCTTTGTGACTCCACTGTTTTTGTCTTAGAACTCACTCTGTAGACCAGGCTGGCCTTGAACTTAGAGATTCTCCTACTGCCTCCCAAGTATGGGATTAAAGGCATGCACCACCACACCTGGCTGATCCCACTCTTTTTAACCAAACTTCATCTTCTGTTTTCAGGGATGCCTGCTGTCTGCAGCCCTGGTATGGTGCCTGTGGCCATGCCCCCACCAGCTGTGGCTCCTCAGCCCCGCTGTAATGAGGAGGACCTCAAGGCTATCCAGGACATGTTTCCCAACATGGACAGGGAAGTAATCCGCTCTGTGCTCGAAGCCCAGAGAGGGAACAAGGATGCTGCCATCAATTCCTTGCTACAGATGGGTGAAGAATCCTAGATCCACCTGTGGCCCTTGGCTTCACACCACTGACCCTTGGAATTGCCCACCCAGGGTTACCATCCCCACAAGATTCCAATGAAAGACCATCCACGTACCCCTTCCTTGGACATTAGTACCACCCCTTCCCACATATTTCGGGGATGCATGTGGATTTTTGGTTCTGGCAGGCAGTCTTCTTCATTGTTGGTGAGGGACAAGGTGGGGAGACATCTCTCTCCTTGTCTCTAGCTGGGTGATGATGGCATGGCCCTATTACTGGACAGACTAGTGGTCCTATTGTTTGAGGACCTGCATCTCCATTCCTTACCCTGTTCTGGAAAGCATTCTAACAGAAAGCAGCAGCATCTGTCAGGATATTAGAATTTGTACAGCATCCTTCTGAGTCAATGGATGGCATGAAGTTACTCAGCCTAACTGGGATGGTTGTTGAAGGTGCACTGAGTTCATGTGCACCTACTTGCAGGTTATTTTTGGAACTTTTAAGCTAAAAGCTCCTTCCTTCCTCTGATGTTGTGTGTGAACCTGGGCCCCTCACTTAGTCCTGGGCCAGTGAGATATACTTTCCAGCCATATCCAGCAGGTCCGACCTCTTTGTCTAGCTCACCTGCCACTGTCTGGCTAGGCTTCAGCTACAGAAATCCAACTTGAATACTGAAGGTGTCCAGATCTGGTGCTTGGCTGGCCAGGCCCCTCCTTGGCCCTCAAAGCTGGAGGTTCCTTTCCACCTCCTCTTGTTTAGTACCAGCACTGTGGGACTTGCTCCCAGGGCTGTTCTTGCTAATAGGTCTTCATCACAGAGCCCAGTCAAGTGAAGGAGATGGGCTGGTATGGCACTGTGTGTTTACTATTAAAAGGCATTCAGCCGTCGTGACACTACTGACCTGCAGCAGACTGTGTGGACCCATACTGTAGCTTGGCTTGAGTGATTAAAAATCCCATGCTTAAATTAAAACTCCATTGAGTTAGATGTGCCTAGTGGATATTGTGTGTTGTATTTGGGGTTGCAAACCTTTGGGCTGAGGTGGCTGTACATATGTTAAGAGAGAGAATGGCTGACACCTTATCCTAAGATCCAGAACCTTGAAAGCTTTCTCAGAATCGATACACTGAACAGGTTCCATTAAGAAGCTATCAAGCATTGTCACACATTTGTGGTGTTACAGTTTTGCCTTACATTGCAGTTGCTTTTTGTTTTTCCGAGAGTTTGCACCCAGCCTTTGAATATGTGACCCACAAATATGGCATGTAGGTAGCTCCTAGCAGTTTGGATTTTTGTGAAGGACCTAAAATATGAAAGTTAATGATTCGGTTTTGACCTTTCCCCTCTCAAAATGCAGGTTAAGTTTTAATGTCAGCTAAAATATACTACTTTCTGTCATTCATGGGGGGTGCTTTTTGTCAAATGTATTGTCCATAAGTGTTTATTTTTGTAAGCCTAAAGGCAGTATGTGCTGATGGCGAGCACGGGATGTGGTAACAAGCACTTTTCTTTAGTTGTAGGTCTTTAAACCTTTTAACTGCAAAATGGAGAAGAAAGACCAATGTTTGTTAAACAGATTCAACCACTCACTTTAACGCAGCAGACACTGGAGTCTCCATTCTAGACTGTTGTGTGGTCTTGTGCTTGGTAAGCAGAGGCCCTCTTCCAGGGTGGATGAGCCAAGCAGAACAGGACCTCCATAAGGGGGCCACTTAGTGTTACCAGCACACTAAAGACTGGAGCCCCTGTCTCTAGGTCTCAGGTATGGCTGTGCATCAGCTTCTGCCTTCAAGAGGTATGGGCTGAGCACAGCACTTTGTTCGGATGAGGTTCTGGAGGGAGCATCAACATTTGCTGGCAGCCCCTGAGCATCTTCCATAGCACTCAGAGGCAGCGTTCTCAAACTTGCGCTTGTTTAGATGTGGAAGAGTGATGATTTCAAGACAGATTTAAGGTTTGAACAGAGACTCTTCCCTTTACCATGAGCATTTTATTTTTTTAGATTGAAGAAAGATCACACTTTATAAGGCCTGAGTGACACCTCACTCTCCTAAGTTTTGTGCTGTTTTGTCTTGGAATTTCATGTCAGAGTCCATCTAGTGCAAGGAAAGAGACAGTGCTTGTCATGCTCGTCTAGGTGCCTAGGCATCAAGAGCATGGCTTGCTTGGCCTTCCATCCCATCCTGGGTCTTCTTGAGATGAGAAGTTGGCACACCTGGAAGGAGTAGCTCAAAGGCTGAGGCCACAGCAGATGTAATAGGCTTCCGGGTGAAGGCCAGGCTCTCACTGGGTGTCACTGCTGCTCTTGCCAAATTTGAAGATTCAGTTGGTAGCAACGTTTCATGAGGTGGCCACTCAGAGCGCCTGCTCTCAAGCCAGCTCTAGTGGCCATGGGTCTGGGGATGGCCTGGGCTATTTTCTTCTCTGGACATTGTGGTTGGCTGAAGTTGTAACGCACTGCACGCCTGTGGTGTGACATGGCCTGTGGCTTTCATCTCACTATGTGAGTGATGCCTACCTGACTGAGAGACATGTTTGTGACTGGGTTCTGCCCTCTCCCTCCCAGGCCACTCTTTACAGACACTGGTGTCATCTGAGCACTGTCTGGAGGTTGATGGGATTGGTTCTCAGAACTCTGTGTCTATGGTTATCTTGGAGATGAGATCCATGTCCAGAATTTTCTTTGATTATATGATATATTTTTACTTTTCAGCCTTCTAATTTAATAAGTGGTCTATATAAAATAGAAAAATAAAGTCCTCTAAGGAAATGTTTACCATTTTTGTCCCTGAGTATTTTTTTAAACTTTTTATTAGTTCTTTGTGAATTTCACATTATGCACCCCAGTCCCACTCATCTCTCCTTCCCTTCATACCTGCTCTTTACCCTTGCAACCTCCCCCCAATAGAGGTGTAGTGTGTCACAGTATGTCCCACAATACACCCTTTTGTCCACACTTCTTTGCTTGCAAATGTTCATTGCAGTGAGTTGTTGGTCTGGTACAAGGCCTCTGGCTTCTGTGATACTGCAGGCTTACCGGAACTCTTCTGTTGTTGCCCTGTAGTTGTGGCTCTCTAGGCCCCTTCATGCATTGCAGCAGTTCAATGATGGGACAGATTTTGGGCTGAGCTGATCTAAAGCCCTGGATCTGAGCCTGGGAGGTATCTGAACTGGTCAGCCCACCAGCTCTCCTGTACCCACACCACCAGGTGAGCTCTCCTGCCCTGCCCTGACTGGCTCACCCAGTGCTGCTGCCAGCAATGGGCAGAGCCAGCTCTCTTGCTCTCGTGCCCTTGGGGTTGACTCATCTGCACCCACACTATCAGGGCTGGCCCTGCTGCCCAGGCAAGGTGTAGGGTTCACTCTTATGAGTGCTGTAGCTGGTGAGGGGAAGGGATAGCTCTCCTGTGCCCAGACTGGGGGTGGGGCCAGTTCTGAATAGTCCTCTGATATCAGTATGTCCCCTGGCAGCAGCCCAGACCAGGATATCTGCCTGGCCTTTGGTAATAACAGACCCCTGCTGCTGTAGGCCATGCACCCAGACATTGGGCCCAGTGGCAGCATAGACCAGGACCCCACCATGGTCTCAGATGCCATCACTGGCTACTCATATCAGGCTGTTCTTCACTACCCTGGAATCTCCAGTTCTGCCTCTCTTCATTGTGCCCATATCCTTCTGTTCGTCTTTCTCTTTCATTTCTCTACCACTTGCTTGCTCCTTTTAGTGGCGTTCAGGGTTTCTGAGTGTCTGGGGTCTTCTCGGGTGGTTTCAGGAGTGCTATGCCCCATCTATGTGTTAAGGTCGTCATCTCGGGCTAGCTCCTGTCCAGGCCCCATGGCAATGGACTGGTGGTAGTCCCAAGCTTACTCCTCACCAGGCTCGACTATGTAGCCCCATGCAGGGGTTGCCTGTCTCCAGCTCACTCCCACATGGGGCCATGGTCCCGGGCAGGATTCTTCTACTCTCCAGCTTGCTCCTGCTGGGCCACACAGCTCCTGGTGTGTTTCATCTCCCTGGCCAGCGCCGCTCCCTGGGATCCTGTCCAGGCCTACAGGGTGCTGAACTGGTCATTATCTCAGGCTATCCCTGTCTGGCTCCCTGGTGCCAGACTGTTGGTCATCTCAGGCTTGCTTTTTTCAGGACCATCGTTCAGATGTTCAGAACACTGAAGGTAGACATAGCCTCTCTCCTCTCTGCCACCTGCTAATGCACAAGTGACACAGCAGCCACACCTGCTATACCTATGCCTGTAAGGGCAGCTCCTGAATTTTTTTTTTTTTTTAGTTCATGACCCAGTACAGGGTTGGGCTGAGTAGCACTGATGGTGACTGAGAAGGCAAGCCTGAGGCTCACCATGAACCAGGCATTCAGTGCGGGTGTTTCCAGTGAGAAGCAACGCTCGGCAGGGGTGGCATCAGGCATGGGCTTTGGCTGTGTTACCAGCTCCTCTGTGAAAGTATCACTTCCTGGCTTTATTGTACTTCTAAGCTTTTCTTTTCCAGGCCATTCTGAGTGTCCACCATTTGTCAGAGGGCCCATTGTATCTCCCCACATCCCCATGTGATATTTGTCTCAAGCTGTCTTTAAACTCCGAGGGCAAGTAGGGCGCATACAGCTTACCTGCCCCTTTTCACACTGGGCCACGTAGGAAGGTCCTGATGGTGCTTCATGGTCATGTTGGATGTTTGTTTCATGATAGCTGTAAGCTATATGTGCACTCTCTGAAGTAGGTAAGTAGATGGGGAAGGCACCCTAGGCAGTGAGCACCACAGGTGAGGCCACCCTGGGGAATGAGTGCCACTGCTGTCCCACCTAGGGTCTCCGACCTCATCCTGAAAGCAATACACTGCACAGTGTCATCTTCAGCCCTTATTCTATGCTCCAGACGGCTGGCAGAAGTTGTGTGCTGGCACTGGGTACGATGCTGATAAGGGGTGCTTGTTCTCAGAAGCTTTTCTATAACAAACGATACTTCCCTAAGTGCTCATCAGGAAGTGGGGACACCTTCCGGGCGGAGTGGAAATTGCACAAGATTTCAGCAGGCCAAGAGGATTTGGATTCTGTTTGCTGCTCTTCCTCAAAATGGAGCACAGTGCTGGGCACGTGTAGAAGGACGCAGGTCTGAAGCCCCAGGGTCAGGGTGTTTGATGGCAGCCCTGCAGCCTTGGCTCAAGAATGAAACTGTTGTCAGTCTCGGTTGTTAGAAGAGTAATGTTCTCATCCCCAGCTCAAGCTAGGGAAAAGCCGACTTTACAGGGACAAGAACAACGCAAGGGATGAGCAACAGGAATTCATGGTTCACTTCTCCCTTCTGTCTTCAGTTGTGGTCTACAGTCATGTAGTCCAGAATCTGTCTGAGGTGCATAGGAATATTCCTTCTGGAACATTCTTTCCGGAGAAGCAGGGGCTGATGCAGACCTACCAGCATCCAGCAGTGCCCATATGTAAGTGCAATGGAAAGTTAGGAGCACTGAGAAGCAAGCTGTCAGCTGGGGTCTGCGGAAGCAGGCAATGCCTCTGAATCCTTGCTGAAGGATGTGTGCTGGTTTTGTTTTTGTTTTAATGTTTTAAAAACAAGAGAGAAAGCATTGTAAGCAAAAATCAACAGACTACTAAAAGTACACAACAATGGCAAGAACTGTGTTGAACATTGAGAGGTGAAAACTAAGCCGTAGGATAAACTGCTTCATGATCAGTTCACTTACATAGCTTGGTCAAGACTGAATAACGAGCTGGAAAATGGAGTCACCCAGAGGAGGGACTGTGTGAGTAGAGGAGAAGATTCAAAGGCACAGTGGGAGAAGATGCGTTATTCCAGCTATGACTTGAGGTGCCAGAAAAGGTTGTCACCCCTTAGGGGCCTCCCTTTCTCTGAGAAGAAGGAGAGGGGGGATGGTGTGAGAGCAGGACTGGGAGGAGAGGAGGGAGAGGCTGGGTTTGGGATGTAATGTGATTAGATAAATTAAAAGGAAATGAAAAAAGAGACCAGCAGAAGATACCTAGCCCTTCATGGGGTCTCAGCGTTTAGGGAGGGAAGCCGCATGTTAAAAGACAGTGGCAGAAAACTAGATGCAGGGGTTTCAGAGAAGCCCAAAGCATTAAAAAAAAAAAAAAAAAAAAAAAAAAAAAAAAAAAAAAAAAAAAAAAACCCTGTGTGACCTGCACAAAGCCATAGTGTTTAATGTCTAGCAATAGTAATATGAAAATGGGAATCACTAGAGACAAAACAGGAGATGACTGGCCTGAGTGTGTGAGCTAGCATGTTAAGTTTTCAGAGCAGCTGCTGAAATGGCAAGATCCCAACATTGCCATTTCAGGGCTCTACAGTGGTTATAATGTGTGTGTCCACACCATCAGACGTCTTATAGACAGAAGGTTAAAGGTCAGTCTTGGTTACATGTCCCCTGTGGATTCTGTGGGGCCTGAAAGATGAACTATGCAAGACAAGTGAGGGCCACCTGATTCTGAGCTTTCTACCCCAAGGGTGGCCCTACTCCAGCCTTCCAATTCTGCACCCTCAGTTATGGTCTGTATAGGGACTGGAACATCTTGATTCTGGAGCTCAGCTCTTCTGGTTCATCTCAGACCCAAAGTGGACTTGGTTTATCTGCTTGGGCCTGTCAGCTGCAGTACTTACTAAACGGGCCAAATGCCCATGGATGCACAACAGCTGCTGAGCATCCAGAATCATGGGAAATGATCAGAGTTCTGTCAGAGTGAACAGAGGTAGACCTAGCACCTAACTCCACAGAGTCCTACCTAGCATGGGGACAGTGTTATGTCACCTGACCCCAGTGTCAGCAATGGTTCGCCTTTGCACTAACACCCTTAATCTGGCCTTCTCACCCCATGCATACACTAGGACACACATGCATACACAGCCCTGGGAGGCTGGAGACTCAACGCCTTGTGATGTCTCTCAAAGGAGCCCAGCCTGTCCTTCAGCTGTGCTTCCATGTCAACCTGAGGCTTGCAAATGGGTGAGAGTCAGAGCTTTCCACTAAGGAGGTTGGCCTCAACCTTTGCTGTCTTGATGCTTGGCTCTGAGTACATGTTCTTGTCAACTTGACCTTGAAAATTACATGGTCCAGGACCAGCCACCACAGATTCTGCTGGCCAGACACCAGGGATGCCTTTGGGCCTAGAGCTTATCACAGGGCCTCTGGCAGAGGTTTTCTATTTCTCTGCTAGCTCTGTGTCCCTTTGTTCCCTACTGTTTCAAGAACCTCATTTTGCAATGCCTTCTCAAAGACCATCCTATATAAGACAGCTCATCTTCTGCGTAATTCTTCACTGCTCTCTTAAGAAAAGCATACTCCAAGACCTGACCACAGGTCTCTCTCCTCACCATCGTAAGGCAGTTCTGGGGTCTCTACTGGGACACTGTTCGCAGCTCCTAGGAGCCAGCAGCACACCAGGTCAGTGCTGAGTGCATTTGTTTTGTCATCGAGCTCCTGGATCTACCCTGCTGTACTCCCACCCAGAAACTTAAATGAGGCCCACTGAGGCATTTGTACTTTGTCCTACTTGCTCTTGGCTTTCAAGTGGACTCTTGGGTCTAGACTCTTGATCCTAGACCCATCCAGCATTTAGAACCATCTTGCTCCACATATAGATAGTAGCATATTTAACCTCATAGGGAGACTTGTGGCTTATATACCATGATACCACCTGTGTCCTTGGGCCAGGGGACCGTGCTGCACCTCCTCATATTTCATCTTGTCCTGACTCAGCACAGGTGGCCATCTCAGGAACCTGCAGATGGAGCACCTGAGGCCCTTGTTGCCATCTGGCTGCAAGCAATCCAGGTTCTTCCTAGAACCCCACTGCCACCACCTACTCTCTAGGACAACTGTCCAGAAACACCCAGACAAGGGACTTCGGCTTGTGAGTCATTAAGGATGTTCTCCCAGTAGATGTTAGAGATGGGGACAGGGATGGGGAGAGGAAGGGGACCACCCAGCCCAACTGCTACTTCAGAGAAAGGCTCTGCTCAGGCCTTTCAGCAGGGACACAGTTTGTCCATTTGCAGATCAAGGCAAGAGCCCATCCCAGCCAGCCCTTGGATTGAGGATTCCTTAAGGGGAGACATTCTAGGTACTTCCAGCTTAGCATGTGGGGGCAAAGTCCCTTAAGTAAGTTTCTCCCAGGTGTGACTCAGGAAGGAAAATGCAGGGACCAGGTAGTGTATGAACAGTATTGGGGCTCAGGACACATGGCTGTCTGTCAGGGTCCTTAGCAGGCTGTCTTGCAGTTAGCTCTTTGGGGGTACATGACTTCACTGGAGTCTATCCCTTCTCTGCATGTAAGCCATTTGAAGTCACTTCATCTTTATAAACACTGTGTATTTGGTGACATAGGTATATTTATGGATATTGATTGTCAAATATTCCTTGGTTTTAGTTTTGCTTTTGTTCTATATCATGTAAACTATTTGATTCAGAGTTTAACAAGGTGGGTTCACAAAGACTGACTTCTTCTAACCGATCGCTCAGGCCATAGATGCTATAGGTGCCCATCTCAGCTCTTTTTTGTTTGCCTTTCCTTGATACAGTATATGCTGAGTATAGCAAGCCATACAGATTTCAGCCTCTTTCCATCTCCTGCATATTTAATTAGAAGACCCCAGCTGCCTCACAGACATCCTCCTTTCAGTTGCAACTCACACCACTGTAGTGTTTGTTCCTGGGGATCTTTCCCTAGTGACATGACTGTGGCATGTCTACCTTTGGGACAGATCTCTGGATGACAAGATGTTAAGCCCAGGATAGACCTGGGAAGTACATACCTGTTCATGTCCTGTGGTTTCCTGATGGGCTCCAGCAGCTCAGCTGTCACCTGAATTTCTCAGACTTGGAGCAAGACTGAGCAGGTTCTGTGCATTTGAGGAACATTTGCTTTCTTTTGTGAGGTCTCTTCTTGCCTTAGGTCATGTCTCATTTGGGGCTGTTGGTCTCTCCTTTGTTCTCAATTTCTTTTTCTGTGTCACAGGCATTGGGCTGGTGCAATAGCTCAGTCCTAGAGTACTTGCCTTGCACAAAGCCCTAGGTTCAGTCCTCAGCACCACAGAAACCAAACCACAGCTCCATGCTACAGGCATTAACTCTGACAGGGGCTATGGGTGCTTTGTCTTCCCATCTCTTATCTTTTTACATTGTTGTTGATTTTATTTCATGAAAAGGAGCATATACATACATATGTATATATGTATATAGCCAAGTTTACTAAACTTTTCTATGTTATTCCACATTTTTTATTCA